TTGTCTATAGTTGGAGTTAGTTTTAGTTTGTATGTTAAGTTACATTGTTTGTTTATGGGCCCAGACTTATTGTATATCACAAATAGTTAAATTAGTTTTTGTAAAAATATTTTTAAATTTAATTTTATAAATTGTTGCAACATTGTAATGTTTTGATCCTTTATTATTAAAAATGTATATATAGGTGGTTAGATCCATAATTGGTATAATAGCACATTTCTTGAGTATATTATGTTAAGGTCTAAATAATGAAAACCATGTGTTATTGAAATGTTTCTCTCAATATCATATAATGTTGCGTATGTTAAGGAGAATTCTACATGTGGTAAATTTAAAACAAATCGTACAAATAGCCTTTAATTTAAGCACAGTAGCTTGTAATAAAATTTAAATTTTCACGACTTTGAGGAATTGCTTAAAACAATGGAGCCTAATCGTATAAATTGCCTTCTTTTTTTCTGATGATTTTATAAAGATTTTTTTATCAAAAATTTTAAAGGCAAATGCTTTAACAATGAAAGACATACATTTAATATTGGACAAACAGAGTAAAATATCAAAATTCTTTAGATACTTGACCAAAACTCATGAGATTTCCTGTCTTCATTGTTAGGGCGTATATATCAGTTGTTTATATTCTTCGAGTAAGAAGAAACATATTATACTTGTATAATGTAACGCAATTCACAAGTGGAAAGATTTTTTTCTTATTTCGTGACAGTTTTTTTTCCTGAAAACCCATTCCCTTTGTTTTTGCGGATGACAAATTTTATTGAAAACAAGGTAGCTTCGTTTGTTTTAATTTTAACCAGATTTTGTCTAATTTGGCCGCATAAATTCCGAAATTTTATATTGTTTTGAGAAGATTAATGCATAAATGGTACTTAATCTAAAAGTAGTATGACCAATGCACATCTTACATTACAGCACTTATCCCATAGATATTTCAAATATTGTACGAAAAATTCATGTTACGAATTTAAAATTCAATGTGAAGGAAAGTAAAAGAAAATTTTTTTTTTAAATTTCTTGCATAAAATTTTCTTAAATCATAAACTTTTGAAAAGCATTCAAAGGACAAAGATATTATCGCAACCTTTTTCTATTGTTGTAAGCATAATGATTGAAAGTGGAAAAAAAAAAAAACAAAAAAAAACGAAAATGAAAAATTTAAAGTTGGGTTACTAAAGTTACTCAAGTTTTTATAATTTCCCCCCTATAACCTACATTTCATCTTTCTTTTAACAATTCATCCTTTTATTAAAGAAAATAATCCTTTTTCTTTCTTCGCACCTCTTTTATACACAAAATCGAAGTGAGAAACATGACATTTCTTTTTGATACAAAATAACATACAATTTTCTTGAAATGACCTTCAAAATTTTTCCAATCCAAAGAGAAATTCAGGGTCAAACACAATGTATAACTTTATTATGTTGTGGTATAATTAACACCTCGTATATATGTATAAAATTTTGTTAGAAACTTATCTACTTATTGCAAAAGTAAAAAGGATTGATTTGAACAACTTTGAATTAATAGTATGGAAAGTTGTCTGTTGTAGTTTTGACGGGTTTATTAAACTAACACTTAAAAATACAGTGATACGGTTTAGAACATTCCTGTTTATCTTGTTTTTGTTCCAAAAATGAGTTTTCATTTAAAAAGTATGCTATTTAACCATTACTAATTTTTTGAAATTTGTTCATTTAAGTTGATTTATGCTAATTTCAATTTATTTATAAGACGCATAAATAATTCCATATATGAGATTATAGTAAGAGTAATAAACGAAATTGTCAAATTAGAGACGTTGCGTCACTCTTTTCCTTTCCTGTGTTTATTTTCTTTGCTCTGATTGTAATTTGTGGTGATTAATTTTATAATATGACGTGACTGACCAGATTTTTCCATTCTGTATGTCAAAAATTAGAATTTTACATAGAATTTAAAATTGAAAGCATTTCCGGCTCACTATAAGTGCGCAACTGTAAGGAAGTGTTCGTTGGCTGACTGTAGCTATAGAATCTATTCTATAATTCAAAATTTTTCGTAATGTAGTCCATATAGCATACAGCATAAGCAAAATTGTACCAATTTATGCAACGTTTTTGTGTTAATATGCGTTTTACCTCCGACTTATACTGAAACTATAATTAAAGTAGCATGAGCAAAGAAATTTAAAAAATATTAAAAAATATCGACAATAACAAACAATCAAACATCTTATTTATGCTTGGCATGCCTATAAAAGCATGCTTCACTTTATTATTTGTTCTTTTTACTAAAACAAAAAGTTAAAATTTTAATGGGGTCCAAGGTAAGCTATATGTATAAAGGTAAAAAGGAGAATTAATACATACATGAAAATCATAAAGCTCTTTTACCAAAAACACTACTGTGCAACTCATATCAAATAAAACAATAGCATAAAAAGTATAATGTGTAAGTACTAAATTGAGTGCAAAAAATTTTGTTGATAAAAAACTTATATTTGCATTAAGATTTATGTTTGTATTTTATTGAAAACTTATCATCAATGCCATTAATATTGTATACACAAACAATAAGTATTGTATTACATATTTTATTGCGTGCATTCTTGATAAAGCATTACAAATAAATTTATATACAATTCATTTGAATTGTACTGCAATTCAAATGCAAACGTTTACAAGAATAAAGAAATTTGCACCTAAAAGTATGCAATTTTTTTAGTAATTTATTTTAATTATGCTACACCAATCCAAACATAAATCTTACAAGTAATCGTATTACACAAACTTAGAAAAGAAAATTTAATATTAATACCAATACATGTATGACTAAAATGGCAATTGTTTTGACTCTCACCGTAAAACGATCACACAAAAGTATGCAATTTATTGAACCAAACACATATTGCTTTAATAATTTCACCTGTACAAATATGAGTTCTATAAACAAATTGATAAATTTATATGGAAAACTTATTTTTCTAAAATTCTATCAAAAATTTCTGAAAATATTTTTCATTTTAACAAGTTTTTAAAGAGGCATGTACCAAATGAAAAAAAAACTCTTGAAATTTAGAATTTCCATTCTTATTCTAAAAACAATATTTTTCATTTTTCACAATTTGGAAATTTTCATTCAAACACATAGAAAACATAATATTTCATTTGCTTTTTGTGAAAATTTAATGTTACAGAAAATCAATATATAAACACATTACCATTAAATCCTTAACAATGAACCATTATTAAAAAAAAAAAAAACGACAAAATGTTATAAACAAATGGAAGTAGCTACTATGGGAAAGGATAAAAATTAATGTTGTATGTATGGGGGAATGTTTCCAGGTAATTCATATAGGTACCTTTGAAAGTGAAAATGAATGTGAAGGAAAATCATTGTATATGGAAATAGAATTTATTTTGTTTCTTACTCATCCTTTTTTCTCTCGTATAGGGAATAATACTTAAGTTGGGATTTTTGAAATTTTAAATTTTTTTTTTAATATATGGTATTAGCTTTTGAATAAATTATTGGTCTTTTGGTTTATTGTTAAGAGTGTCTCAGGTATATATCTGTTTGGAAAAGATCATTTATTATGAGAAAATAATTATATAAGAACTCATTCTGAATCTTATAAAATTTATATGAATTTCCTTACATGTACAGGATGAATTTTTTCGATCAAATATAAAAGCAATATTTAGCTAAAGGCATTCAAATTTTTTTAAAAAATATTCAAATTTAAGAGGTGGCAATTTTTTTCAAATTCCATTCTTTTCCTTTATTATAGTCAATTCCTAACTAATCATATTTTTTTAATTATTTTGTTAAGTTGCTTAAATGAATTGCTTTGCAATCCAATAATATTAAATAACCAGTTTGGTGGCGTAATACACGGGGTATTGGAAGTATGCAACAGTATGTAGTTGTCGGCAAATGAAACTAAAATGAACCGCTTTTTTTGATAATTAATCTGTCTTTGCGAGATTATATTTATGTTTGTCACCGAACTAAGCCTTGCACTGACTTACAAACAGTAATTTATATCATGCACCTGCAACAGTATATACAGTAATGAACACATTTTCTCAAAATGGCGCCTGCAATTATGGCATAATAATGTTAATTTGAATATAATTATTATTTAATTAAATTATAATGATATTGGGTCTACACATATACGAAAATTTAAAATTAATAATTAGAATTTCTAAAATTATTTTACATAGCATTCTTTTAAACTCAATTACAGCACTAACTAAAATTATTCTTTTACTTTATAAAAAAATATATAATTTTAATAAATTTCATTCTCTTCCCTCATTCAAAGATTTAAAATAACCTGTGCCACAATTATACACCCCATTTTGAAAAATACATCGACCTAAAATAATTTTTAGTGTATGCTTATATAATATTTGTAAATAGATAATGTATGTTATACAATAACATACATATGTCAGGATATAAAGAAAATTAATTTTATTTTTCAAAGAATTTTAAATTAATGTGGAAAAATTTAATTTATCAGAACGTACACACAAGTCTAAAGGAGCAGAAGTAGAAAAGAAAAGAGAAAAATTAGGAAAATTTTTCTTTAGGCACAAATTTAATTTGATGAATTTTCCTTAAAAATTAAGAAAATTGCTTACAACAAATTTTGTTTTCTTCTGTTATATAAATATAAAGGGGTTCTTCTTCTAATCCTAATATGTATAAGAGATAAAAGAAAAATTACATTGTTTAGAAGCCATTGAACATGAGTAGAACTAGAAAGGAGGTAATTATGCAAATATGAACTTTTAAATTAGAATTAAAAGGAAATTTTTCTCATACCAAAATTTGTACATGAATGAAAAGGACACAATCTTATTATTATTAATTTAATTGTCTTGTTTACAAATTTGTGTAATTTAAAAATTTAGAATTATCGTATTAAGAAATCCTTTGAACTAAAAAAATCTAAAAATTTTAATAATTTATTTTTTCTTGTTTCTTTACAGAATTATCGGAAACTAAATTACATGAAATTTTACTTAATCATGAAGATGTTAAACTTAGTTGGATGATTGATTGGTACAATCAAGAAGTTTTATTTCATATACAAAATGCATTTAATCAACAATATAAATGGTTTTACTTAGGATTTTCGAAACGTGGTGATGTTTCAGAATCGGATATCTGTTTCTTCGAGAATCATAATGGATTTTTTAATGTTGTAACAGATGCATATACAAGTAAAGATGGTAAATTTGTACATAAAGATTATCAACAAGATTGTGAATTATTTAAAATGGATGATAATTCACTGGCATTTAAAAAGAAATTCGATACATGTGATCCATTGGATTTACGAATGCATGTAAGTTACTATTATATAAATTTGGGTTTTTATACTTAAATTTCTGAAATATAATTAAAAAATGAAAGAAGTTAATAATTTTCTTTAAGTATATTGCAAAAAGTTCACTTTTCCAATATTTTTTCATTCATTTATGAAATAAAAACTTGAAATTTCATAACTCAATGGATTTTAGTTTACACACTTACATAGTTTTAATTGATCCCCTTCGCCTTAAAGTTGCTGCTACTTTTTGAGTTCTAAAAATACCCCTGTTTGACCGCCTATTCTGCCGCAATTTAACAGAATTTTAAAACCTCCAAATAAAGAAAATTTTTATTTACGTCTTCTATCTTAACTCAATGTACGAAAAACATGTCAGACTGTAGAAATCATTTAATACTTCAATTTATTGAAAGAAAATATTTTTGTAGCTTCTGTTCCTTTTGGGCTATCGTTTATCAAGTTAAACTAAATTTTAACAAATTTCGGTCCAAATATTATTTTAAAATTATCCGAATCAGAATTTTGCTTAGAGCTTCTTATTACCGTTGAAGTAAGAAAATAGGCGGAAATATTGAAATATTGAGATTTCAAACGAACATCGTTTTACTCAAATAAAAATTTTAAATAGAAAATTTTGAAAATTTTATTCAAAAATTGATCAGTTGGGAGAAATTAAAGAAAAAAATTTAAAATAATTTATTGTGTTGCATTGCTTTGGAAATATTCAGAATTAGATTTAGTCCGAATTACTAGAGTTCAAATTTTCGCAAATTGATTTATTACAAATTTTATTCAATCAGTTTTTACCTCAGTTACAAAATTTCAATAGAAGAGAGCTTTTAAAAATGCAGAATTGACTTTGAGTAAATGCTGAATTTTCGGTGCTTCTTCCAATAGCTTGTTTTACTAAGAAATAAAGCTTAAGTTTAAAATATCTGGATAAAACTATCAAGCACAAATAACTAAAAATTAATTTCTTTTAGTTTGAAATTTTTCAAATGTATTTTTTTTTGAATTTTTAGGGTAATCAGATCAACTAAATAAACAGTATTCATTCGTTTAACTTAACCTGTATATAAATTTTAATTAACCTTTTTTAAAAAGGGAATTTCAAAAAAACAACAGAACACTTTAATGCAGTTTTGCCATCACAACTGTGATTATTTCCCTTATGTAAATTGACTGAACTTATACAGGTTTAATTCTGGGTCATCATAGTAGAAGTGTTTTAAATATTTTAAACAACAATTTCATGATCTACTTCGTACTTTAATTAAAGTCCTAGTTTAAAAGTTCATTATTTTCGGCGTTTTATTTCTGATAAAGAAAATATTTTACGAAAAGCACAGAGAAATCTTAAAAAAACAAAAGGAAAATATATAATTCAAATTTTTCAAAACCTTAAATTTCCAGTCTATAGTGGCATTCCATAATAAAGACGACAAATTCATGACGTTAAAATTTTCTCTGAAAAAATAAAGAATTTTCATTAAAGAAAACTTTTTTTTTTTACTTAATTTGACCGCATTTTAAAGCTTGAAAATTTTAATTATTTAAAATTTTTGTGCACATTTTTTTTTTGTGTATTCTGCACCTTGAGTTTTCCGCAATTCATTTAATTTTTTTTACTATTTAATGTTCATTTCTTCAACTTCACTAACATTGCATGAAAATATTTTTTTTTCTTTTATTTCTTTTTTATAGGAAGGAACAATGTACATCCTTTGGGGAAGAGGTAAAACTCAATTAGAATTGCAAGATAATAAATTTCAATTTCCAAAAGCATCAACGAAAGATAGTGGTATGCATATGTTACAATTATTAAGAGCGGATAAAATTATCATACCTGAAAAGTAAGTCCTTAATCAAAAAAATAAAACAAGAAAAGAAAAATATTCATTAAAAATAATTTTTTGTTTGTATTAATTCGAAAAAAAAGATGAAATTCAACATAATTTCAATTCTCAAACTCAATTCATTTAAATTTTTTGTAGGGATATAAAAACAACAGAGGTGACATTATCAAATGTCCTTGTACCAAGTAAAGAGACAACATATTGGTGTCATATACAGAAATTAGATGATTTTATAAAAGAGAAACATCATATAGTACAATTTGAACCAGTTATTAAAAATTCGGATTTAGTACATCATTTAGAGGTATTTCATTGTGATACAGATGCAGATATTTCTATACCATTATATGAAGGTGATTGTGATAATTTGCCAGCTGAAGCAAAAGTTTGTTCAAAAGTTATATCATTATGGGCAATGGGTGCAAGTACATTTACATATCCGGAAGAGACTGGATTACCAATAGGTGGTAAAGATTATAATCCATATGTTAGATTGGAAGTACATTTTAATAATCCGGATTTAGTGTCAGGTGAGTTAGTGAGAATTACAATATTTTCATTAGAAAATATTTATGTTTTACGCAAAGCTATTGTTTATTTAATCTTAAATTAATTTTTAGAAAATGGCTATAAGATTCATTTTATTTGACTGCTCGTGGTCTGTTGTGTTACTTGCAAAATTTTAAAATAATTTTAAATGTCGCAAGCAATTAAATCTTACTTAGAAATTGATTTATTTAGAAAAAAATTTTCTCCTATCCTTTTTCCCAATGAAGTTATTTTTCGCGAGGAATTCTCAAAACTATTTATTTCTGATTACAGATTGAGATAAAATCGTAAAAAATGTTTGAATTTTGTGATTTTTTTTTTAATTTGGAAAAGATTTGTGATTTAATTCTCATAACGTAAAGAACCATATAAGAAAATCAGAATGATTTACTTGCTATTTTTATTTATCGCTCTGAAATTTTTAAAAATTTCTTGTTTCAGAGTTTTGTAATTCAGCTGATTTTTATTTCGGTCATAATTCTTTTAGGAAATTGTTAAATTTTGTTGTAAATACTGAGCTACATCAGATAATTCTCAGATCAGATAATTCTGATAGAATTCAGAGCCTGGTATGTAATCAGTTATCATACTTTATCGTAGAGTTAATCTTGGATTTTCTCATATTTTTATCCTGCGTTTCATACTCGATTCTAACTTTCATTTATTTATATACAATGGACACCTAACAGTATTCCTTATAACATTTCAACATTGCATATTCTACTAAAATAATTAATGTGGCATGAAAATTATATTTCATTTCCTTATTCTTATAAATTAATTGTTCTGAAAATAATTAAGGATACAAGGATTTTGTTTTTAATTATTTATATATGTATGGATATTTTTGAATTCAATTAAACGCAGAATGGGTATAGAATTTTTTTAGACTTTTAATGAAATTGTATAGTCCATTATTATTCAAAATATTCAACTAAAAGTATGTTAAAAAATGAGGTTTTTTTTATTTAGTTTCTATTCCCGTACTAAATTCAAAAAAATGTATTATTCACATTCTAATTCAGTTTTTTAGTTATAATAATTTATTACATATAATAAAATAAAGAAGTTAGTAGACATTAAAGGCAGGGCAAATTTGAATAGTTTTAAAATTGAATGCATATTGTTGGTTTTATCAGCTACAAGTTATTCAAAATAAATTGTGACGGTTTTGATAAAAATACGTATAATTATGACTTGTGTAATGAAAAATAAAAAATAATAGTAAAAATAGTACTTTTTGATTTTATACTGCTTAAAGTCTTGCATAAATTATTTCGACGGTATCTGAATTAATTCTTACTGGTTCAAATAACTTTAATTGTTATAGCCAATACATGTGATGGATTTAATGTTCTAGTTTATTTTCTTTAATTTAAAAAAATCCAATGGTTCTTGAACTACAATGCCCAAAATTTAAGAAGTAATTAAATCTAATTAACAAATTTTTAAAGAAGTTGTAATCTGAATGAGGTGACTGTTGTTTATAGACACAAACTATTGAGAAAATCAATATAAAATTATGGTTTGCCTTTCTTTTTATTTTATAAATTTTACTAATTCAAATATGGAATTTTATGATATATTAGAATTAGTATATCGAGAATTAAAGGCAGGAGTGAGTAAAAGTGCCATGTACAATTTTTTCAAAATGGACGTATTAGGGATTTGTCTTTCAAATTTAAAAACTAGTTTTAAAAAAAAAAACTCTCACATATTTAAAATAAAGTTTGTCTCCAAAAATGAAAATCATTTGTTCTTAACACCATTTTGGAAAATTTAATTTCTATTTGTAATACTTTGTTATCAGTGAAAGTGCCAAATAAATCCACTTTTCAATAAAAAAATTTAAAATATGTTTGAATTAAAATGCTATGTATACGCCAATTTAGATCCTTTCTAGTGAATGTGGATCCTGTATACATATTTTTACTTATATCTTTCAAAATACAGATTTTCACCAATTGAGTTTTTGCATGTTGAAAATATTATGTAATTTGTAATATCTGGATAGAATATAACTTCATAGATGGCACAGTGAAAAATTTTATACACAAATGCATTTTCAAAATTTGAAAACTAATTTACTCGAAAATTTCGAAAATTTGTATTTGAAACCTTCATTCATTCTAAAATACTATCGTAAATCTTATATTTTAAAAAGTTGCTTGCTTATAAAATAAATTTTCAAGAAATTAACACAAATCTAACAAATTCTTTAATAATCGATTGCATTTTGTATGTAGAAGAAATATTCCTTAAATAAATCACAATTGCTTTCTCTTCATTCACACATAATTGATCCTTGTTTATGATAGCATTTTTTTTTCTGAATATCTTGAAAATATGCTCACAATATCATGTTATTTTTTTTATTCTTATAAATAAAATTTATTTTTAAGAAGGGTTATAATTCTTATTCAATTTTGAATAACACACTGATTCAACAGATTTCATCAAAACAATCAAAAGAAAGAAAAAAATAAAAACAGAGAAATCTGAATTGATATTCAAATTATTATCCTTTTTTTTTCTCACATTTGTTTTTTTTTCAACTTTAATCAATAATCAATCATAATAAAGATAAATATATAGAGAGCCCTTTATCATTAAGCTATCATAATAATTTTCTTATATATAAAAAAAAAAAAGAAAAATAAAAAGGGAAATTTTCTCTAGAATATCCAATCAGCTTTTATCTTAGTTTTTGTTAACTTTAATATCCTTATATATCTTCATACTGTAGTTAGACTTCATTCATATTTTTTTTTTGCTCCTTATTTATTTTTCTTTTTTTGATTTTAGGACGAATTGATAGCTCTGGTATGAGAATTAAAATGATTTCAAAATTACGTAAATATGATGCTGCTGTCATGGAATTAGGATTAGAATATACTGATAAAATGGCAATACCGTATGGTCAAGTTGGTTTCCCATTAAGTGGATATTGTATTGCTGAATGTACGCAAGTTGTAAGTAATTTTTAATATACTTGGCTTTCTTATTTTATTTTATGTTATTTATTTTAGAGTTTACCCCTTTTTTTTCCTAATTTTATCCTTTTATTTAAGGATCATTTTATTTATTCCTTACAAAAAAAAATAAATAATGAAAACCAAGAATCTTTAAGGAAAACCCTTAAAGAAAACAAACAACAAAAAAAAATGAAATTTAAGAAAGGTTTCCTTGGTTTTTTTTTTGGTTCCTTAACTTATTTTCTGTTCGAAATTATCCTTCCTCTATCAAAAAGTTATCCAAAACATATTTTGTTTCATAATTTATATACATACATACATTATTATCAATTCATATATAATATTATGTGTGTACATATGTGTATACTATGTATATTGCATTATTATGTAGAAAATTTATAAAGTAAATATTTATAAAATAATTTTTAAATAAATATTTATATGTTTGTCACAATATATGTAATAATGTTAATGATTATAATAAAATGATGATGATAATGATGATCGAATATAATGATTATGATGAAATTATATATTTTATATATAATATATTTTTAGGCTTTACCAAAATCTGGTATAACAATATTTGGTTCACAATTACATACACATTTAAGAGGTGTACGAATATTAACTAGACATTTTCGTAAAACTGAAGAATTACGTGAAGTTAATAGAGATGATTATTATTCACATCATTTCCAAGAGATTCGTAATTTACGTTATAAGCCAAGAGTCCTGCCAGTAAGTATATTTTTAATATTATGTTTATTATACATAAAATATAAATATAATATAAAAGAAATTTTTCATATAAGTTAATTTTTAGTTTTTTCTCATTTATTTATTTTTGTATTTTTTGTTTATTTTACTTTGGTCGTGGTAATATTTTAATAACGTATATACGAAGAAAATACAGCAAAACCCGATTAAACGAAACTCAATTTTACTATTTATTTTGGTTCTTGTAATAATTAATTAATGTTAAAAAGCATTCCTTTCAAATATGCTTCTAGAGGAGATGCATTTATTTCTTAACAAGGATTTTGTGATAAAGCATTAAAAAGTTCATAAACTACTCTATTACTAACATAACACACTTAAAACTATTTTCAAAAAGTAAGAAATTATACAACCTTTTCAGTTCGCAGTTTTTGTGTGTACGGCCTTTTATTGGCTTAATTCCAATGGTTTTGTGCTTGTAAATTTGAAAACAGATTCATCTGAAAAGAAAATGTCAAACCTTAAAAGTTTTCTAAATTGACACTACTTGCATAACTCAATTTAAATTTTTTTCTAAATCGGCTTATGTCTCAATTCAATATGTCCCATATAATATTCTTATGTCGGCCATATTCTATTTAAATTTATTTAATTTACCGTAATTATCATGCCTTTAAACTGGTTTTCATTTTAACTGTGGTTAATTTTACAGTATGTACCTATTTGCAATACATTCCGATCTAAAAGACTAATTACTTTAAATGGGAGTTAATTTTATGTATGTTTCTTATAAACGAGTTATACTGTACATGTAAAACATATAAAAATTACCTTGCACATATTGCATAACCATTTATATATAAATATATAATATTCAGGTACAAATTAATAATTATACTTATAAACAAACTTTTAGAAACCACCATCAGGAGGTCTACGTATAGTAATATAAGAGAATTTTAGTGAAATTATTATAATGGTTTGTCGATACTTTATATAATGATGTGTATATTTATGGTAGTTTTATGCTACAAAATATCTTTATGTATACTTAAAGTCCAGGATTCTTATATAAATATTTAATAATATTGTATCTTTTAGTTATGAAAATTATTCATATTATACCCTAATTTTGTATCATACATAATAATAAAGGAAACATAACAGTTTATTAAAAAGAATATATGAAAGTTATGCAAAAAAAAAAGTTCAAATATTCTTTCTCTAATGTCTAAAACAGATTGTTTTGGAAAATTATTTGAAATTTTTTAACTCGATCGTCTGTAAAATAGAAAACTAAATTTTAATCTCAAATAAATCTTTGTAAGAAGCTTATTGCTCTAGAGAAAAATTTTATTTACCTCCCAGAGTTTAGATTATTATATTGAAATTATAAATTGTTATAATTCTGAAATATTAGCAGTTTCTAGATCTCGATATTCACAAATAATTTGATTCGTTCGAAGAAATTTTTTTTTGCATCTTCAAAAGCGATAACTTACCTCCCATAAATTAAGGTAAATTTTCAATAGCTTATATTTTCAAAAACGTCAAATTTTTCAAATTTCTATAAAAGGGAAGATTCTTTCAATGACGAAACATATTAATTTATTTTAATTCACCTAATTAACTTTTGAATTCTGTCAAATTTACACATTAACTTATTAATTAAATCTTAAATTTTAATTTTTGTACGTTCCACGAAAAGTATGCAATATTTTTTGTTTCATATGGTACAACATTGTTCATAGATTCTTATGCTCATAAACGAAATATTTTAATTCAATTCGTTAATTATTATGAGCTACCCTGTACCTGTAATCATAATTTAATTAAATCTCTAATGATTTTTATTATTGGTTTCATATTGCAATTATTTTCGAATTTTGTAGTTTTATTTGTGCTTTTCTATGGACTCATAATAAATTAAAAACAAACTAGCTATGGTATACAAAATAAAAATTAAATCATTTATAACAGATAACATACACATATATATATATGAAGGAAATGTTTTTAATTCTGATTACTTTTAGGATTTCATATTTTTTTATTTTTCCTCTTAGTCCTTTATTTTTTTTATTTGTTTATTATTATTTTGTAAAATAAAATGAAATAAACATAAAATAAAATTTATTTTACTTTAGGGAGATGCTTTAGTTACAACATGTTATTATAATACAGAAGGATATCAGAATACAACATTGGGTGGTTTTTCAATTAGTGATGAAATGTGTGTAAATTACATTCATTATTATCCGGCTACAAATTTGGAAGTTTGTAAAAGTTCAGTCTCAGAAGAAACATTAGCAAATTATTTTATTTATATGAGAAAGTAGGTATAAACTATATGCTAATGTACATACAAACATAGTATATATTTATTTGTATTTAATTTATGTATATATATTTCACGTATAAGCCTGGTTAAATAAGAGATTATTAGTCTACTCTATAAAACTTGAATAAAACAAAATTCATTTTTAATTCTTGATTTCTATTATTATGATTTTTGGGTTAACTTGTTCGGTCATGTATAGGTAAAACAAATTCTGTCACCTATAGGTTTACCATTTTAGTGAATATGTATTATATATTGTACATCGTAATTTTCATATTAAATTTATAACACAATCTATTCCTTTACCACCTAAATGAATACTTCTGAACAAATCAAAATATTTAATAATTTCCAAAGCAGAACCGCTGAAAGGTGTTTCTTAAATTAAAAATATGATATACTCGTAATCAGCTTGATAATCGAAAATTTAAATTTAGTTACTTTCTAGTGAACTACTTGTATTTGTGTACGTGAATAGCTAATAAATTGATGATAAAAGTGCATTTAACGAAAAATAACAACTTAGTGCTTATTAGTACTTATAATTTTTTTGAAATTAAATATTAGCTTTTGGGTGCTCCTGCTTAGCTGCATAAGTTCTTAGTAGTTCTTAGCTCCAGAAGTTGAATAATAATGAAAAAATTCATAATCTTCAACGGATATTCTATGAATTGTAATTCAATTTTAAAGTACAATTACAATTATTTCTGTGCAAAATAATGAAATCTGTGACAATTTGGGCACATTAACGCATATTATCACTAACCACAGCAATATCATGTGATTTATAGCTAATTAAGCAATCAGAATTTTTAAATTTTGATCATTATACTTTATTTATTAATCCATGTTCAAATGCCACAGAAAATAAATTCACGACAGCTTCATATTTCTTATATGAGGCAAATTCTTGCTTTTGGTAATTTTAGAATTTTGAGTGTCAGACCGAAAGTACCCAAATAATTTCGTTACTAAATTATGCTATTTCTCTATAATATGTAATATTTGTGTTAGCAGGCTCAACTCCTTTAATTTATTAATATAAAATATACTTCTTTATTTAATTTACATTATAACATATTTACAAACAATCCACACGTGTGCAATTTTAATTTATATAATTTTTTTTCCTCTTTTTATAAATAATTTTAAAAAAAAACATTATAGAAAAGAACATCAACATAAAATAAAATTAGGTGGTGGTAGAGCACATAATTATCGTAGTATTAAATGGACGGAGCCTCGTATTGATCAATTATATACGATGTATATACAAGAGCCGCTTAGTATGCAATGTAATCGATCAGATGGTTATCGTTTTGATGGTTATAATTGGGAAGGTTCACCAATAACTCCAGTTAAAATTCAAGTACCATTACATAGATTATCATGCCAAAATTATAATCCATTTTGGTTAAAACCATTAGAAGAAGGAAAATGTGACCTATTAGGAGAATGTATTTATTAATAAAACAAATTATAATAATTATACTCATACATACATACATATAATATTATATACTATTATATAATAATAGTATAATTTGTATACATAATTCAAATATACATATAATATACATTCATACAAATATACAAACATATATACATACATAATTTATATATTATAATAATAATGTAGTTAAAATTATATAAAAAAAAAATTTGAATTTATACCCGAAAAAACTGGAAAATATTAAAAAAAAAAAATCTGTTGAGTATTATTCTGTTAAATAATTAAAATAAGTAACGTAAATATAATAATAAAGTATTTAATTATATATATATATATACAAATATTTATATAAAATAAGTAAAAATTAAACCATCAAATCCATTAACTCTATGTAATGGTTATTAAGAGTATGTATGTATATTCACATATACATACATAAAAAAAATGATTTAAAATTAAAGCCGTCACTCATTTTTATTAATTTATTTAATTTAGTTTTTAAATAGTTTATTCGTACTTATAAAGTTTGTTATACGTGACATCCAAATTGCCATTGCGATACAAATAATTTAATTATTTACTCATCATAATTCCGATAGGTAGCATTTAAATGCCATTACTATTATTTATGAAATTTTGTTTTAACCCTCTATTGTAATGTTGTGGTTAGAGTGCTTTTGGACCGTCAACATGGTCATTCAATATAAATTCAAAAACATTTTAATACCGAAATTAAAAATTCAAATTCAAGAAAGGTTAAACTGAAAATCTATTTGATTTTTTAAATTTCTTGATATCTATAACTTTTCAATTAAGTTCTATTAAATTTTTAGAATTTTTTCAATTATATCTTTGAGCTTTAAGATTTTAGATCAAACTTGACAAATTTTCATTTGAAAAAATATCAATCATTTTGTAATAATCAAACTTGTCACAATAAAACTGTTATATGATCAAAATGACATCACAGAATCGTCGGATAATTGAAGTTTTCTAAAATTAATGTTTTGATGTTTAAATTATATGAGAAATATTTTGTCAGTTGGGAAATGAAACAGTGCATACAGTGAACAACATATACCTATAATACACTGTTTTATTTCTTAGCCGTACAATTCAGAAAATTCTAAATTGGTTTCGTACGCGTAACTGACAAAAAGCTATAAAAGTTCATAAAGTTCAATAATTTGCAATATTTTAATTTTTCATTTTGAACATAAAACCCTTGGTGGGTCAAAGTACAGTAGAAATCTGCTCGAGTGAACATAATAAAAACACAGGCTGTTCGTTCTATTGAACCTGTTCACTGTATTAAATGTCAAATAAATTAAACTAAAAAGTAGTTTTTAAAGCTTTATTGTTTCGAAAAGTATTCAGTTACTTTTTTTTGAATTTTTTTTTTATTTGAAATTTTTAAAACAATATTTTCTCTTATATTTCTAAGTGTGACTTGGTCGGTTAACAAGATATCGTTGTCTGAAGCCCATTGTATAGTCTTATTTAGCGCTTGAAGGGCTTCATAATCAGAAATTTTTGCTTCAACTGTTTCTATCACATTTTCAGTTAAATTAGTAACCGAATTTGGCTCTTTAACTTCAGTTTTCTGCTATTAATCGCGCACACGGTTGATTTAGCTATACCCAATTTCTTAGATAATGTTGTAACACTTACTCCTGACTCTAAAGATTTTATAATTTTAATTTTTTCATTGAAATTCAAATGTTTTCTTTTAATATTCGTTTTCGGCATTTTAAAAAAAAATTGAACACTTTTATTTTATCGAAATTACACTTTAATTGAATGCCATTACCTAACACAATGTATGACTTATAATGTTAAATAAACAAAATAATGCTCTCTTTTGTAATTCAACTTGAAAAATCCCGTTACAATGAGAAAAATAAAAAGAATAATATAAAAAAAAAACAGTTTTGTAAAATTTGTTCACTATACTGGGCACTTATAAAAATTTTTGTTCACAGTGTAAGGCAGTCAATGCTAAAATTTTTGTGTTCACTCGATTGGGAAGTTCATAAAGTCGGGCGTTCACTAGAGCAGATTTCTACTGTATTTGCGCTTTGACACTTACTTTAAGCAACTTGGATGTCATGATATGCTACAAATACATATATATACTTGACGTCAAATAATAACATAGTATGTATAAATATTATTATATTGTATACAAAAATATGAATATAATTAATATGATATTTAAAAAAAAACACACACAATTTATATTACCAAAAATAGTATATTATACATATTTACTATAATATATATACATATATATATATATACTTAGGCATATTATCAAAAACAACAACCATCATCGGTTATGAAAACAATATTGTACTTATATAAAATAAAATGAAAGAGAAAAAAAGAAAATTTAAAATAAATCGAAATTATAAAAAGAGAAAAACAAAAATAAGCTTTCATTGTAAAATCAAAACAAAGAAAAAATTTCTTAAAATAAAAACCTTAAAATAAGAAAACTCAATATCCTTAAAAAACTATATATATATTAAAATTATACAAGTGAAAATATCAGGTATACAACAAAAGAAATCTATTTGATAATAAAAATAATAATAATAAAAAAAAACAAAGTTTATGTAAGCAAAAATTTAAAAATAAAAAAAAAAACTTAATAAATTAATTATAAAATAATTAAAATGCTCTGATTGCATAATCATTTACAAAATATGTAACTCAGACAACTATATGGAATACATGTAAAATTTTATGATGACCACAGAATTAAAGCAAAAAAAAAACATCAGAAAAAAAACGAAAAAAATTAATAAAAAACAGATAACAGTTTTTATAAAAAAAATTGGGTTTTTTCTTATATTTTTAACAAAACAAAGAGGCTTCTGCGAATTGCTGATATCAGAAAAAATTGCATACTTTCAGGGCACTGCGAACAAATTATATAGAAGAGATCAGATTAATACATATAAGTTCTTGAATATTATTTAATTTTTGTTTAAGAATACAATTAGTGGTTTAATAGCAAACAGAGAAATTCGGAAACGAAATAATTTTTATTAAAAGCTAAATATTGGATTTTACTGGCATTTGCAATAGAAATTTCTAAGGAACCAATAGAAATTTGACGTCTATTTCGAATGAGTGCAATAAGTTTTTGTGAGTTATACGATTTTGACACTTTAGAATTTTGGCGAGTTGTTGTCAGTAAAAGTTCCAATTTAAGATGTTTTAAGATGGTTTAAGTATGGTGGTAAAATTTGAAGGAACACGGATATTCAATTTCAACAAAATCCTAAATTAATTCGTATTCTAAAAAATTAAGTATGTACATATTCTTAGCATTCTAAGAATATGTACATACTTAATTTACAAAAAAAATTTTGTACTAAAATATTTCACTGCCCCAACTTTTATGCAACAATAAAAATCAAACTAAAATGGCTATTCAACCTGTTGGCAGTTTCAATTAAAGCAGTTTCTATATTTTATTAAAAATTTTTCAAATTAAATTCTTATTTTGGATGAAACTTTTATAATTCTGTAGGAACTTCATATATCACTTCCCACATTACTGTTAGAAAATTTATTATGTAAAAATTTTTGGCCTACATAATATTAAATTTCTTTTTTTTTCAATACCTATGACCTTTATTTCATGATTATATTGTTATACCACGTGTAAAACGAAAAAAAAAATAAAAAAAAAATAATTTTTTTTTTACGGTCAAGGAATATAAGAACAAAAATCTCCAGAGTTAAGCCTTTCTCTAATAAAATTTTCACATACTTAAAGAACATTTTCAACTAACTTTTATTACGGTTTAATAAAGAGTCATGTACGGTACAGTAAAAGTAATAAAAAATTTTTTTCATATAATAGTTACTCTATTAAAAAATTTTCACAACCTAAAAATTTTTAATATATTAATAATTTCCTGGAAAAAAGTATGTTTATGTCCAAATAAAAAGTTTATTACTTCATGTAAAATATGCATATAAAATATTGTACCACTAAAAATGTTAAAGTCAAATATCACATGATTGTACAATTGTGTAGCATATACCCAGTTTCAAATTTGGTTTTATATATTATTATCATCGTGCTCATTACAAGAATCGTTAAACATTTTCTTTGTTATTTCCTCAAAATATTATGGAAAATTTTAAATTTTATAGTAAAAAATTTAATATTATGTTTAGGGAAAAATAATTAATGAAATTTTCTTTTTAAAGCAAGAGAATGCGTGAAGTTTTCAGTATTAAATTTATTAAAGTATAAAAATTTATGAAAAGATCCTTGCGATTAAAGAGAGTCCTACTACTCGTAACTATGTATATTTTTCCTGAGAGATTCAAAATATCAAAAAAAAACATTTTTGAATAACGCAATTTTTATGAAAATTATTTGGGCATTCGAATACGATTTACTCAAAAATTTTCTGGTACTGATAAATCTGAATATTTTTGAGACTAACCTGAAAATATTTATATTATTATTAAAATTTTTTACAGAATTTATTACAGATTAAAGTATTTGTTGTAAATTTTTCATTTACTATTTTATTTAGAGTCTCTTTGATTGACGTTGGCATCATCCGCCCTCCTGCTCACCCACATAGTACGATCTATATTTTTCGTGTACGTAACATGAATTTTTGAACGTACTACAAGCTAGAACTATTCTAGAGCTGAATAAACGAAAACCCCCAAAAATTACACAAAAATTTGATGCACACTCATTACATTTAGAAATTAAAGTAAACTCAAGAACAGAACTTGCACTAAAAGTACAAATGTGGAAGCAATTAGTATTTTACTTTAAAATGTATTTTTTCACAATTCAGTAGCAATTTTATTTAAGTAAATAGCACAATTCTTTAAGTTTCTAATATTTATGGTCTTTGAGTTTCTAATTGTATAAATTCACTTATTTATTTATGTTATTAGGTTGTATCTTTTATCAAGAATTCAAATACTACGTCTTTATAAAGGGTTATAAATTCTCTAAAAATTTTCTAAAACTGCAAAATTAATTTCATGTTGAATATTTTTTAAACTGAGAAAATAGCTTGAAATTACCATATAAACAACTGGTGTCAGTTTCACTTAAATAGATGATATTTTGACCTTTAGGCTACGTTTTGACGGAATTGCTGCCAAAATTTACACAAAATTATTGAAAAAGTAAATAACAGCAACTAATTTATTAAATCAAAGAGATGCTGTGAATAATGCCAATTTC